TTCGTCCACTTTGTCATTATCCGAACCTTCTTTCTTCTTGGAGGCTATCACGGAATTGGGCTGTTGGCCTAAATTTTCGACTCTTGTATTTTGAAATTTATCATGTTGTGGTTCTTCCACGCGATCTTCACGTGGTATTTGGTTTGTGACCAAAATTAAGCTTTTTCCAAAATGTTTAAAAGAAATTGTAATTGATCGCGATACAGATATTTTTTGGTGGCAGCTTGTCTTTTATTGAGGAATTTGCTAAATAAATCCCTGATATTTCCTTACGTAGCAATAAGCATTTCCTGTGAAAATAAAAAATAGATATACCTATATAATTTATTCATATTTTCTCATATATAATTTAAGATATTAATCATGGATCATTTTAATAATTCATGCATCATTTGATTTATTTTCATGTATCTAGCCAGTGGGAACACGGTAACCGATTAACATTATACCTACAGGATTGGCATATCAACTATAAGGAATATTTTAAGAGAAGCATGCGCCCAGATTTTGCAAATTTCAAAGGACGAATCCATACCGAAACCATCAAAGGAACACTAGCTGAAATCATCCAAGGAATATGCTGAACGTTTTCATCCCCTATGTATTGTGTGGATGTAACCTTAAAATACAACTTGTGTTCAGATAATGAAGAAAAAAAATTCTAAGACCTCTTGTGAAAATCTCGCATCGCTACTCAAAATAATAAGGTAGATACGCCTAAATAAAGTTTTGTCTATTCATCGCGTGACGTCATAAACACACGCAAAATTTACAAAACCTATCCAAACTGACGCAGCGATAGAGGTGAGAATGCAATAACAATACGATAATGTCGATAATAAATATATTATGCACCAAGCATGAGCAAACGCGCGTCCAGCGCCGACAGGCGGACTCAGTTTGTGCATATGACGTCACAGTGCTGGGAGTGGAAACTTTATACCACGGTATCTTTGCGATGGTTGGTCGTAGCCTATTGCGGTTTGAAAATTTGTTCTTAGATTTTTTCTCTAAAACTGTTATTTTTGGGTCATACCCCCTTTAAGTAGCGATACACTTCGACCGTATGGAGGTCAGAAGCTCAGCAACGCAAAAAAGTTATCGCTTGAGTTGCACTCATGGATACGCCGTATGTACAATCGGTATTTTCAGCAACAAGTGGATAACTTTTCATCGACCGCTTAACGTTTCCAAAACATTTTCTTAAGATATTGTTAAAGCCTTCGTCATCCTTCACAATTTGGTTCGACGAGATAGGGATGGATGCATCTCCGATTACTTTTATTGACTGATCCTTGCCTCTTCGGCTCTCATCTATTACGATAAATTTATCATTTTCGTAACATGTTCCATTTCTTCTAATTTTCATTATAAAGTTGTATTTTTGCCATTTCAGAATCAGCAAAAGAATAATTCATAATTTAAGTAATTTGAAAGTATCTACAAAATTTAATTAATTCAATATAATATCAGTACTGCCATCTATCCATAATGAGCATAAAAATGCAAATATTTGTTATCAAGAGAAGGTACCGCCATCTAGTACCTGATAAATTTATTTTTTAAAATTGTGATAGTTTTCTTTAACTATTCTTATTATTTATTGACAGTCATTGGTACTTTAATTTAAAGAAATTATATCTATATTGCTTTTAGCGAATAGATATATTTCTGTCTTTCTCTTACTTTTGATTCTGAAATAATTATTTTAAACTTAATAACCTAATTAATTAGTGGTTTTGTGTTTTCAACATAACCCTAATTTAATTTATTGTAATTTGTAAGCAATTGAAATAATTCTAGTGCGTTTTTATCTATTCCCTTTTAATCAACGTAGTGTTGCATTGATGAAATGAATACGGTTTTTTGTGTGTGTTGTGTGCTGTCTTCTGATTGTTTCGATATGGTTACTAGGCAGTTAAGTATAAAAAAACACGAAACTCGTTTTCCTGCAGGGTTTTGGATCTAAAACGGTCTCTTTTCTAGCGGACCACTAAATAGGCAAGTCGATTTTCATTTTTATTAATTTTTTGCTCCAGATTTCTAGATTTTCCCTTAATATTTTTCAATTTATTTTACCATCTGTGTATACTATCACTGTTTGAGTTTTTATTAACTGATAAATCTCATCTAGACGTTTAAAATATAAACATTTTATTTTAATTTTTTATCTATTTTGTGAACCTCCATTTGGCTAGTCCCACGTTTTTCTGAGGACAGTCAATTCAGAGTTTTGGCAAATAGATAGGTACTGCTGCTTTGGTTTTCGGATTCAATTGTTAATGTGGGATTGTTGGACCATTTACTCTAAATAGAGTCGGTGTAAACCAAATTTGATAGTGTGTCCTATCCCTATCAACACTTCACCGAATCCAGGCAGAGGCCTGTATGGCCAATTATTGTTTGACTGTCTCAGAAGAAGAACGCTGGAAGGGTGAAATTTTAATATAGAAATCCAGATAGGTCAAAAATTCATTTGAAAAGTTTTAATTAAAACATCTCAAGAATTTTGACAATTCCTGGATTTAATTTATTTCACCCTCAGCTTTATCTTGTAGTACCTATAGTAGGTACCTTAACCTAAAAAGGGAAATTTGTCTATTGGGGAAAATCTAGAGATTTATTTTTTAAAATTTTTCCTAAATTCTTTTTTTCAAATTTTGCCTGTTTAGTGCGACTGCTAGAAAAGCAGCATTCTGCTCAATTGTAACGAGCATCTATTCTATCTTTAATCTTGCTGTATATTTACCTAATTATTGTTACTTTATTTTACATATTTCTTTTTTTATTAAGTTATTTAAGTAATTGTTTTTCTATAAAAGTATGAAATTTACCATATTGTAATAGTTTACTTAGTAATACCTGATTCTGTTGAAGGGTAGTGTCTGCAATTCAATAATAATTTTATTTCTAACTAATTTCAATTTAAATCTTCTTTGCAAGACGCTAATTTTTTGACAGAATTCAGGGATTTAATATTCCAAATCTTGGTGAAGCTGATACTGCCTTATTCTTTTCTGGGTACCTATTTGACACAAAGATCACTATTTGGAATCTGGATCATTTGGAGTGACGTCACCCCAGCAATCTATCCTCGTTCCTGGATATAGGAAACAAACCGAAAAGCTTCAGTTCACGAAAGTGAAACCCCAACATTCATTGAAGACCTCTGGATTGGAAAGGTACATACTGTATCAGATTCACCAGAACAACCAAGCTATATTGTTTACACTAAGCAATATTTACATAATTTACACAACCAATTATTGTTTGTTGGATTTTGAATGGTTTCATTTGCACATAAAGGGGCTACACGTTATCTTTATAACTAGATTTATTTGTAACAAGTCCTTCTCTGTCCCTGGCTGCCCCCTTCCAATTTTCCAGTATACCGAGAAGTTCTTGTGCAACGTTTTGGATATTGTCCACCCAGCGCACCTTCGGTCTTCCTCTCTTCCTTCTGTCGCTTATATTTCGCCTGAACATGCCCTGCCCATCTCAGTATCAATAGTTTTACGTATTCTCCTTTCGATTCTTTGGAGAAGTTCTGCCTCTTTTTTGACCATGGTCCACACCTGACATCCAGATGGAATAACAGGTCTTGTAACTGATTTATAAATTCTGTTCTTGGATGCTCGATTTCCCGCTGTTAATCGACTATTTATTATGGTAAGTGGATCGTTTTAATTAACTGAAGTCGTTGGTAAAGTAAATGGCAAGATATATCGTTGACTCCTACTGCAATAAATCAACTACCTGGTTTAAGTCCATTGTGTAGGTCCCAATATCTTTAAACTTCAATAAATGGGCGCAGGAACGGACTTTTGTCTTGTATGTAAAAAGTATATGGATTTTTGTTGAATTATCTGTTAAAGGGAGAAATTTAAAAAAAAACAAAAATATAAAAAATATACCTACTTATTTCATTATTACAAAATTCTATACAAATATGTTACCTTTTCTTTATTCAGTTCTGTCTCACTATCACTATCTTCTAAATCTAAATTAATTATTAATGGCAGAATGTCGGACATTGGGCATATTCAGATCCAACTAGCAAATTATCATAAACATACCTGAATTATTTGCGAAAGGGAGACAACGTAGCGCGCTGCGATATTATATTTCTAAGATATTCCCAAATTTTCAATAAATTTGGTCGAGCGTCTTTAGGATTTCAGGTTTAGCAAAATGTTCTTGTTGTTGTTAATTTGCCTAGTGAAATCCTAAAAGCCGACTCTGCCTGAAAAGGTTGGAAGTTTACTAGCTTTTATGGCCTAAGGGATCATTAAGGTTTTAATAGAGGCAAAAAGTCAACGGTGTCTTGAAAAATACTTACTTAAATTGTATCACCACCACGATATCTTCCCTAATTCATTTGCTAATAGTCCTCAATTTGGTTTTGTTTTCGTTAGTTTCTTAGCCAACTTGTTGGGCTTTGTCTTTTATTTCTAAGAAGGCCTCTCCAGCATCGTCTAAATTTCGACTTACGATGTGTATGTCATTAGCGTAACCGATTATTTGTGCCCTTTTCCCTTTATTTATTTTAGTGGTTGATTAACACCCATTTGCACCGACTTTTTCCTATGGGACCATTAACAAACAGACCCTTAAGTTTTAAGGGTCGCTTAATTCAAAATAATTTGCACGGACACCATTGTACCAAATTTTTACTATGGGTCCTTTAACAGAATGTCATTTGCGGTACAACATGACAACGTCGCATTTTTTTAGGGATTTTGCGTTGTACTACAAATATTTAGGTCATGTTAATGTCAATGTCAAAACGTTATCAAAACAAACATAAAACCGTTGATTGATAAAACTTATTTTGTTATATTTGAATTTAATTTAGAGAACAATTTGAAAGCAGAAACAAAAAGAAAGAAGGAACGTTGTGGTTTTGGTGTGAGGTTTATTTCATTAAAGGTATATTTATATTGTATTGTTTTTCGTTTGTGTAATAATAGACAGTTTATAGCTTTGGTTTTGAGTTCAACATGAGTACCATGACAGAAGAAAATAAGAGGAGAAGGTCGGTGAATTTTACCATGAGGGAACAGAATCTACTATTTTCCATTGCATTAAAACATAAAAATGTAATTGAAAACAAACAGACCAACGCAACTACAAATTGTGAGAAAAATGAAGTCTGGTCAGAAGTTGCCAAAGAATTTAATGCAACTAGCACAGATTTCAACAATAGAACCGTCGAACAACTCAAAAGATGCTACGAGAATAGACGTCAAAGTTTGAGGAAACAGAAGGCTGAAGTACGCCAGGAATGCTTAAAAACAGGAGGTGGCCCTCCTCCAGAGCAAAAGGAAGAGCCAGCTGCCTTGTTAGTTTTAGCAACAATGGACCCTCTAACAGTTGTGGGCGATACAAATACATATGACTCAGATTCTGTCAGTACGATTATTAAAGATTCTGGTCATACTGAAGAAAATGAAATTGAATTAATTTTTGAAGTACCTGTAAGTACAATATATTTTATATTCTTTTTCACCTAGGTATTTGTGAAAAATTATTACTTCCATAAAGTTTTGTTTAGTGAACTTGGTTAAAGTGAAAACCACTTGGAAAAACCGAAAGCATATGCAGAATTGCTGCTAACTTTAAATGTTATTAGATTTCTACATGTAGAAGTTAATGTAATAATAATTAATTCTTGTTTCCTTTGATATATTGAAGGATTGAAGTAATGTTAATCGTCCTGTTTCAGGAGAATCAACAGCCTGGAGAAAAGGGAGCAAGGGATGAAGATCATGAAAATCAGAACTTCCGTGAAGATATTGAGGTGTGTATAGCCAAAATAAAATATTCAGTCCATCTCATCAGCAAGGACTTGAAGACTGTTTCATAATATATTTGCATTTTGTCTTTTATTGAAATGCTGTGCACTTTGCCATTGTGTGTATGTGTGTGATACGGTACGGTGTGGGTGTGTATGTGTGTTATTATTTTGAGAGTTTCAATAAATTGACATAAAATAAATAACCTCCAAGCCTTGAGCTTTATAAATTGTTACCTTGGCTTAACAGAGTCTAATTCAATTTTTTTAGAATGACACATACATTCCACAAAAGAAAGATTGGAAAAAATATCACTCATCTGATTTGAAAAGACCTTTAAATCCAGCATTACTAAGAAGTAATGCTGCTACAGCAGGTACAAAAAAAACAAGACAAGCAGATTCACAGCTAGAATCAGAAAACCTACAAACAAGATCTGAGCATCATAGTACAGGAGTAACAACAAGGACAGGAGTGGGAAACAGAAGGGTGAGTTCATAGGTATTTAGCTACACCTAACAATTGCAAGAAACCTGATTTCCTGAAACTTATGTCTATTTAAAATAACGCATTCCTTTACATTTTACAATTTTATAATTAAAATTATGGTAATTGTTTAATAAGATTTGTTATATTTTAAGGGCTTGGATCGAGGGATAGATAGACGGAGGCCAACTGCAACAGTTGTCAAAGCACTTGCATCAAGTGCTTTAGCATAAAAATACAAGTCCTTGCTGACAAGAAAAATGTTATTGCCGAGCATGCTATACGAAAAATGGAGAAGGTAAGGCTTTATGCTGAAAAGGAGCATGAACTAAAAATGAGAGGCTTACAGCTTGACATTGAGATTAAATAAAAGCAACTGCAGAAACTGCAAAAAGAACCCAACTGTTTTTGATTTTCTTTTCCTCTAGAAGTATTATTTATGTTTACTATTGAGTTATAAGTATATTTTCGATAAATTCTGTTTTTTGTGATATTTTTGTTGATTCTTAGAAAATGTTATTTGTGTTAAAAAGTGTTTTAAAAAATACACTGGAGATTTTGTGTTTCCATTTTTAAGTGTATTTGAGTTTTGTAGTACGTACTAAAAGTGGCGAACACTAATGGAAAGTACCTACTAGTTTTATTTAGTATAACTACTTATTTTCTACGTTGTAACTACCTATATCATTAGTTGTAACTATTAAAGAAATTTGGGAAAACAAAAAAGGAAGTAATCAATTTCAACATCAAATTTATTAGTTATAATATTCTTTAACAAAAAACACTGCATATAAACTAAGTAATGAGTTACCTAATGGCTTTAGGAGAATTGAAAAGGTAAAAATTAAGTACACAAACAGACTATTGTAACTGGCTAAAATACCGAATTATTTCATTTTGAACTGTGTTCACAACCCTACCCTCTTGTTGCTCCATTTCAATTTGTTGGGTTTCTATTAAATAATTTAATTCCTCTTCATTTATGTCTTGTGGTATTGGTGGTTCTGGTTCATTCATCCCTCTCGCAATGTTATGTAGCACAGTAGTTGCTGCTATGATGGCCATTACTGTGTCCATTTTCAACCTTAGTCCATAAGCCATTACTGGAAATCTACGTTTCCATATTCCAAACACTCTCTCAATTGCATTTCGTGTTCGAATCAATGCTTCATTATACCGTTGTTCCCCAAGTGTAACAGGATTTGCTAGAGGTGTCATTAAATAATTTTTCAGTGGGTAGCCACTGTCCCCTAAAAATAATAGTATATTGTTTTATTAGGAGTAAAAGTGATTAGTAGATAAATGTCAGGTTTTTTGACCTTTAAAGAAAAAATATTACTTTTGAATAAACATATTATGCAGTTGAATAGTCAAAAAAAAGGGAGTTCGCCATCCAAGCAATAAATTTGAAAAGAAATTCATCCAAAGGATCTATTAATTTATTTTCAATACAGATATCCATAATCTTTGGTAATATCTACCTAGAATTACACATCCTGTGTTGCATACATTTAGCTGTCTGTAAGATATAACGAGGGAGAACTTGACTTTTTTGGGATCACCACTATATAATCTCACTGCCTTTCTGGCGAATATTTTGAATGATTTATTTGTTAAGGACGAAACTTATGTCAGGAATTCCTTTGATTTTGTAGAAAACATTAAGAGTATCAAGTTACCAATAAACTACCAGGTTATATCTCTGGATGTAATTTCATTATTTACAAACATCCCTACAGATGTAGTAATTAACATTGTTAGTAAAAAATGGCATCTCATAGAAAACAAAGTCAAAATTCCTCTACGAACGTTCATAGATCTGTTGATTTTCGTTTTTGACAACAGTTATTTCCAGTATCAGGATGAATTTTTCAAACAAATTTATGGCCTGGGGATGGGAAACTGTTTATCGCCAATTTGTTCTGATTTGGTGATGCAAGATTTACAGGAATGTTGCATAAAAAAACTCCCATTTCAACTTCCGTTCTATAAACGTTATGTTGATGATATCCTAACATCGATCCCTGAACATCAAGAAGCAACCATACTTAATATTTTTAATAGTTATCATCCCAGAATTCAATTTACCATCGAGAAAGAAAACCAACAAAGTATAGCTTTCCTAGATGTACTAATATTAAGATATGGAGAGAACATAGAGACTGATTGGTTTCACAAACCTAGTTTTTCCGAAAGATTTTTAAATTATTGGTCTGAACACCCTCTTCAACAAAAAATTAATATTATTAATAATTTGAAAACTAGTGCTCTCGCACTGTCTTCTGGAAAATTTCATAGTAAGAACCTGAAGTACATAGAAAGGATGTTATTGAATAATAATTATTCATTATCTCTAATAAGAAAAATTCTTAAAAAAACAAATTCAAAAAAAATAACAAAACAAAGTGATCAGAAACTTTTTTTCAAAATCCCCTATATTGGAAAGCTTTCCGAACGAATAAAAAGAACATTCAAGGGCCATAAATCTAAGAAAGAAGAAAAAGTCGAAATCACCTTTAAGTGCCAAAATACCATAAAAAGGCATTTTTTCTCGAAAACCAAATCAAAGACTAAAAAGGAATTAAAATCAAATTTGGTGTACAATATTCCTTGCTCTCAATGTAATAAAAACTATATCGGACAGACTGGTAGATATTTGAAACAAAGACTGAAGGAACACCAAAATGACCAAAAAAACCTTCTCTTGAAGACTAACCCAACAGCATTAGTAGAACATAAACTAGAGACAGGACATAACTTCGACTTTGACAACACCACAATATTACAAACACAATTTAACTACAGAAAAAGACTAATTGCTGAGATGATCGAAATACAAAAAGATAAAAATTGCGTCAATAAAAGAACAGATATACAAAATTTAAGTAACGCCTATTTTAACATTTTATCAACAACAAAATAATCATCACAAAAAAGCTTTCATATTAGTGTTTTTTGATTCGGATGCCATTCCCTACTTGGTTTTTCTTTGTTTGCTCCCACGAACGATAACACTATTTAATTTATTATTGTAATAGTAACAGCTGGCTGTGTCTGTCTTATATATTTTATTTTAAAATCATTTACTTTTTAAGTTTTAATGTGTGATTATTTTTATAACGTTTTTGTGATATTTTTTGATAAGTTTTAAACTGTACCATGTATGTGAATGTAACGTCTCTTATGAATCTGTACCTACCTAACAACTTCGTATATTGTTCATGTTATGACATAGAAAGTCAATCTCAAATGTAAGTACCCAATACTATAAACATAACTGGAGTTGTTAGGACTCTGCACAATAACATTGTCTTACCATTTTGTAGTGTCCTGAAGATGCAATAATATATTGCGAAACGTCGACAATCTGAAATAACAGACTTCTGTTGTTTTATTTCGATCCAATCCCAAATAAAACCTCAACCAATTTTATTAGTAAGGCCTGATTACTTGATTAGCATAAACTATAAAACGCCTCCTTCAGAAGTCATCAGGGTCTGAGACTGAAACTTGCTCAGAGCTGCCCCTTGTTAATATTTTATTTGATGTAAAATGTAAAAATGTTCATGATTTTATTATTCTATACTTAAGGGCAAGGCAAATTTATTTTTTATTAAAATATGCTTGTACTTAGGTGATTCAACACTGTTTAGTGTGGAACTCAAATACAGATAAAAAAGAAGATCAGAATATGATAAATATCATTTTGGATATCTTGAAAACTTGAAAATAATTTTTAAATAGCAGTATACTAGTATAATAATTATTGGTATGGACGAGATTATTTGATAAATTATTTCGAATTCAAGTTACATCTTACCTGGAGACTGGATTTTCACATGGGTACAATCTATTAGCCCTTGTACTTTTGGAAATCTAGCTATATTGAAAAAGTCATTCTGAGCTCGAACCGATTCTTGAGGGCTTGGCATTTTTACTATTTGGGGACGTAAGGCTGCGATAACCCTAGAAACATGAGCCACAGTCCGGCTTGCAGTTGATACGTGTACATTCATAAAATCTGCACATTGCATTAGGCGTCCACTAGTTGCATAAAAGCGAAGTGTTAGAAGTTACTGGTTCATTGGCGACAGACTGTTATTTCTGAAAATAAAACGTTCATATTTATCATTAGCTTATAAAGAGCACAACTGGCTTACCTATCGTCAAAATATTCTAGTTCACCCTCTATCAATTCCAAGAGAAGAAGCACAGTAGGCTTCATTAACCGAAACCTTCTGAAGAAGCTTAGGTCATCATCTATGTCCTGGAAATAATCAGGTCGCTGATTGAGTCTGTGAGGAAAGCCAAAATCAATGAAGTCCAGGACTTCAATGTCCTCCTCAAATATATCCTCCAGTAATAGGTCGTCCATAAGATCAACATATTCCATTTTCTGTAACATTTATTGCTAATACTCTAATACATAATAATAACTATACTCTGTTTACCTTACGACAAATATAGAGGTATAAAAATTTATACTTATATCGGGCATCAACAATAAAAACTAACCACTAACCTAACAAATATCTAGTTAAAGGACCAAATTTGGCGATTTAGCTAAGGACGGTTTAAGGGAGACATAAAGAGTCCACTAAAGTTGGTGCAAAGCGTCAAAATCGCTAATGGCGCTTTAAGGGACAATTAGCTTAAGGGTCCCATAAGAGAAAGTCGGTGCAAATGGCTGTTAATACCGCTAGGAAAAATAACGGGCGGTATCTGACCGACCGGGGTCTGTGGTACTGCGATGCGATACAATGCCATTTTTTTTGTCGCTCCTGCATAATGTAAAAATCCCTCACACCGTTCAATATTTTTGATGGTTTCGCGATATCGTTGCGATATGCCTGCAACCGGTAAATCACATTGCAATCGCACCATCTGCGAAAGCCGTAAGGCTCGAATATTCTCGTTTCACGGTGGGGCACCCCAGAGGATAGCAAGTGTTGATGTTGGTGTTGATATAGGTGGTTAAGGTACTGAAATAAACCATCGAAAATTAAATGAATCGTTTTGAATAACCTTGTAAATACATAGGTATTATATTCATTCATACTTATTTTAAAAATCGTTTTTTTTAATGTAAATAATGTTTAAAGCAATAAAGCATTTCTCTTCAATGAAAGCAACGGGCCAATAACCCGATATCAAAAGCTGAAAGCCGCATTTTCTGAAAGGATATTCAATTAGGTCGCTGAAAGGGCGAATTTCTTTGCCTTTCAGAAGTGGG